TACCCAGCATCCGTCTGCTGCGAAGGGAGGCCCGGGAAATTGGGAAGGGGAGAGCGGAGGAGGGACTTCTGGTGATGGGTGGGGGGTTTTGGGGTGCCCTCTGGCCGTGTGTTGCTCAACATGGCTGTCTCAGACTCGTGCAGGGCAGCATCCCCACCTCATGCCAAAATCCTGTCCCCAGCAGTGCAGTCATGCCATGGCTCCATCCTGGGGCCATCGGCATCACAACCAACCTCACTTTTCTGGCTTTTCTTCCCCAAATTCCTGGGTTTGGTGTCTTTTTGAAGGGAGAGGTGGGAGTGTGTCTTGGACATCTACCGTAGCCTGGGATCTCCTGGTGCCAACAACACAGGAGGGTCCCTGAGGCCAAGGGACATTAGTGGAAACAGCTGGGCAGGAGGCAGGAAACAGACCCAGCCCAGCTCCTGCTCAGGTTCTCCCAAAATAAGTCATTTACTGAGAGCCACGTTCATTGGGACCCATGGGAGTGCTGGGGTTGCCCTCTGCCCCCTCCCCAGCCCCACAGCAAAGCCCTATGGCACAGCCTGGGGGCACAGAGCACTGGGAGCACATGGAGAGCTGCTGCCATCCCTGTTTAACAGGTTTACCCCCTAACCAGGGATGTCTTTAATGGAGTTGGCAGGAGACACCAGGAGCCTTCCGCAGGGCAGTACAGGGTGTGAGTGGGTCCCTCTGGCGTGCAGCCCCCAGTGTTCCTGTGTGGTGGCACATCCCAGCCCGAGAGCCACCAGCTGGGAACACAGAAGCTGCGAGGATGGTGGTGACTGTGCCATATGAAGATCCCCGGAATACTCTGGTGTGCCACTCTGCCTGTGTCCCCGTGCCCCGGTGGCCGTGCCCCAGCCTGCCCGTGTCACACGTGCGCCTGCCATTTCCTCAAATAAGCAGCTAATCTCCATCAATCATAATTCCATGCAATTATCATAATAGGGCCATTTTGCACTTATCCTCAGCACGTGACGCAGGAGCCACTTATGGCTCCACTTCACACCGAGCAGCTCCGAGCTGCTCCCGTCCCCAGGGAGTCCCGATGGCAATCGTGTCCCCCACAGGCCCCTGGGGACAAACCTGTGCCCTGCCACTCCAGTGTGGGCAGCGGCTCTGACAGTGGATGCTCATGCCGGGTGGCATGCAGGCATGGGGGAACCTCTGAAATAGGGAGGAGAACAAGGGAAAGAGAGAGAGACCTTGTCCCTGCCTTGTGCCATCCCACTACAACAACAGCAGCATAGGGATTAAACCCCAAAATGGGAACACTTAATCTGGTTTCTTCCACCTTATGGCCCTGCCAGCCGTGGCAGCCTCCTGGTTGTGCCAGTGCCACAGGCCATGAGGTGGGGGACACCTGGCACTGACCTTCCGCTGGCTGGCGGGGAGCAGATTAGGGAGGCTGGGAAGTGATGAGGCACGAGGGGTGGGGGATTAGGCTCCAGCAGATGGATGGAGATCAAATGTTTCACTCCCCCTTGTTTACAACACCCTCCTGGGCAGCAATCAGGGATCCTGGCATGTGCTCTGGCTCTGTCCCTCCTTGGGCTGGGGCAGGATGGGGTCACAATTCCCATGGTCTTGGGGTGTCCCAGCGGGGATGGATGGGCTCCCACCTCACTGTGCTCCATCCTCACTTGAAGCAGCACTGTGGCAGGAGCTTCCAGTTCCCCCATCCCATCCCATCCCATCCCATCCCATCCCATCCCATCCCATCCCATCCCATCCCACCGGGATGGAGCCTCTGGTAGCTGTGGTGCTCTTCCCAAGCACTGAGCTCCCTGGAACCCAGTGGTGTTTGCGGTGTTTACACCACCCAGTAATTACTTTCCTTTTATTTTTTTTTTTTTTAATAAATACGGATGTGCCACAAGTAAACTCAAATGCAATAAAAGCTTTCTGCTGGATCCATAATTAATCACCAAGCTGAGTAAGGCATGGGGGGGGAGGGGTGTGGGGGAGCAGGCAGAAAATCCTCCCTCTGGTGCGGGCTGCGGGGCTCACATCCGTCTGGGAGGGAGGGAGGGAGGGAACAAACCACGGTGGCATTCTGGGGACATCCCAGTGCTCTGGGGACCTTCGCAACAGCCCCACGAGCCGGGGCAGGGGGGTCGTGGGTGGGCAGGGCTGTGGTGTGCCCCGACCTTGGTTTTTTCGTGTCTGGCGTTGGGTGTTCCACTCCCAGCTGTGGTGGCACATCTGGACTGACCCCTCCCCGGGGACCAGCTCCCTCCTCCCGGCCCCGGGGAGCAGAGTGCGGCCCCGGAATGGACGGCAGAGGCCGGCTGCTGCTCGTGGCCGCGGCTGAGCATCGTCTCCGGGGATGTGGTCGCCTCCAGATGGCCGGTGGGCACCAGGTGCCGGGGGCCGGAGCGGCAGAGGGTGGGTCGGGGTGGACATCTGGTGTGCACGGCCAGCTGGCCCTGCCTCCTGCCACGGTCGGGGAGGACGGTCCTGAACCTCCCACCCAGGGCGGGGGGGTCTCTGAACACGCTAAAGAGGCACAGAGAAGCATTCTGCCTGGCACAGGAATCCATGGATGTCTCAGACCTGTCCCCACCCCATGCCCCCAGTCTCTGCCAGCCCCTGGACCACCACGGGGATGGTGACACCCTGCTGGTATCACAGACCCCCCTGTGGGCACACTTACCCCTGGGAGCGGGGTGTTAATCCCTGCAGCCCGCAGGGCCCGGGGAAGGCCGGTGACAGATGGCAAGTGTGAAGTGGAGGGTGACAGTGGCACTGGCAGGGCTGGGGTGGTAGTGACAGGGCCGGGGTGGGCAGTGGCAGGGCCAGGGTGGGCAGTGGGCACACCTGCAGGGCAGCAGGTGAGCATAGCTACCCTAAACCCTCTTCAGGGAGGTGTCACCTGGTGGCACTGGGGGCAAGCCCAGAGCTGTTGGGGATGTTCAGACCCACCTGCAGCAGCTCTGCATGGGGCACATGTGTGATGGGGGGCCAGGAAAAAGGGAGGGGTGTAAAATGGGAAGAGACTGTGCAGTGGGGAGGGAACTGTGTGATGGGGAGGCTTGAAATGGGGAAAGGGTGTGCAAAGGGAAGGCAGTGTGCAATAGGGAGTCGTGCAATGGGGAGCTGTGGAATGGGAAGGGAGCTGTGTGATGGAGAGGTGTGAAATGGGAAGGGAGTGTTCAATTGGGAGTCCTGCAAGAGCTGTGCAATGGAGTGGGAGCCCTGTGATGGGGAGGAAACGGGGAGGGAGGTCTGTGATGGGCAAGTGTGTGATGGGGAGGGGGCCATGCCACAGGGAGGGAGCTGTGCAATGCTGAGCCATGCAGTGGGGAGAGGGCTGTGCACTGTGAGGCCATGAAATGGGGACACTTGAAATGGAGAGGGAGCTGTGCAATGGGGAGACATGACACGAGGAGCTGTGCAGTGGGGAGGAAAGGGGGAGGGAGCAGTGTGATGGGGAAGCGTGAACAGGGAGGGAGTGTGCAATGGGGAGATGTGGAACAGGGAGGGAGTGTGCAATGGGGAGGGAGCTGTGCAACAGCCGTGCAAAGGGGAGCTGTGAAATGGGGAGGGAGCTGAGTGATGGGGAGTTGTGCAACAAGGAGGGAGCTGTGCACTGGAGAGGCATGAAATGGGGAAGAAATGGGGGGGATCTCTGTGATGGGGCAGCGTGCAACAGGGAGGGAACTGTGCCACAGCCATGCAGTGGGGAGGGAGCTCTGCAGTGGGGAGTCATGCGATGGAGAAGGAATGTGCCATGGGGAGGAAGCTGTGGGATGGAGAGACATGAAATGGGAGGGAGCTGTGGAACACATCCTGTGGGGAGCTGTGCATCGGGAGCTGTGTGACAGCCGGGCAGTGGGGCCCTGTGCAGTGGAGATGGTGCTGCACAACAGGTAAGGGCTGTGCCACTGGGAGATGGAGAGATGTGCAACAGGGAGCTGGGTAAGAGGGGAGATGTGCAACGAGGAGGGAGCTGTGCAATGGAGATTTGTGCTGTGGGGCGCTGTGAGATGGGGTGCTGTGCAGTGGCGCTCCTTGCGATGGGGCTCTGGGAGCACAGCCGGAACGGGCCCATTGGCTGCACCCTCCACCAGGCCTGGGCTCTGCCCTAGGCCAGGCTTTGCACAAAGCTGGACTCTGCCCTGGGCCGGGCTCGTGGCCCTGTTTCCGCTCCCACCCCGCTGTGCCTCACGGGCTGTGGCCGCCGGCCCCAGTGGAAACACACCTGGGGACGTGGGTGGGGGTCACCCCGGCCGTGCCGCTTCACGGAGCACCGCGCACACCCGGAAAAACACGGCTCCACCGGGGAACAGGGCTGGCAGGGGACATACCGTGTGCCACCCGGCAACCTCTGAGGATCCCTGGGATGTTCATGCATCCCCATGGGGTCTGGGTGTACCTAGAATGTCTGTGTGTCCCCGGGATGTCTGTGCGTCCCCGGGATGTCCATGTGTCCATTGGATGTCTGTGTGTCCCACCAGTGTCTGTGTGGCTCTAAGATGTCTGTGCACCCCAGGGACGTCTCTCCGCACCATGGAGGTCCCATGAGTCCAGGCGATTCCTCATCCGTGCCGAAATCCCAAAGTCCCGCAGACTGGGCACATGGCCCCAGCACCACCAGGCAGAGCTGCCGCTCCATGATACCACGAACACCCGCCATGATATCAGAGGACATCATGAAGACGCTCCAGGTTGCTGCAGTGACCGTCGGCTCCGCGGCGCCCCCAGCCCCGCCTCCCGGGGGCGGTTTGGGGCCAAATCCCCGTAAATCAGGTGCGGGTCGGCGCGGTGGCGGAACGTTCGTGCGCGGAACGTTCGGACCGTGGTGCCGTGTTCCCCCCGAGCCGTCCGCGCACGGAGCGGTCCCCCGGCGGCAGGTGAGGCCGCGGGAGGCGGCGGGGCCGGGGCGGTCCCGGGGGGATCCCGAGGTGGCCCCACAGCCGGGCCCGCTGCCCTCGGCGCGGGGCCCTGGGTCCAGCGCGCCGTCCCTGCGGGACCCGCCGGCTGCGGGGCCTGCGGCGGGGCCGCGGCGCGCCCGGTCCGTGCCCGCGGTCCCTCGGGAATCGCGGGGCGAGGGGTTTTCCTGCTGCTTCTGCTCTGGGGCGCGCCGTGAGTAGGGTGAGGGCAGAGAGCTGGAGGGGGGGGATCCGATCTGGGATAGGAAAAGAATAAGGGCCCTCCTTCCCTGTGAGGGCGGTGAGGCCCTGGCACAGGTTATTCCATAGGTGCCCCATTCCTGGAAGTGTTCAAGGCCAGGTTGGGCGGGGCTTGGAGCAGCCTGGGATAGTGGAAGGTGTCCCTGCCCATGGCAGGGAGTGGGACTGAGTGGGCTGTAAGGTCCCTTTCAACACAAACCTTTCTAGGATTAAGTATTTATCTATTTTTTGTGTCGTGAGAAGGGGAAAATAATGAGCATCTCAGTCATTATTTGATACTTTTCTCAAGTCTCTTTCTCTAAGTTTTATTATTTTCCAAGAGTAAAGTATTTTTTTAATCTCGTCTGTTGCAGAAAAAGCCAAGGAGTTGCTTTGTATTTATGCCTATAAATGAGGAAAGGATGGAATCCTGCAGGTTGGACTTGCAGTGATAGTTATGTCACCAAGCCACAAAAAGAGCTGGAACGATGGTTATTTCCTATTATAACTCAGTTTGGAATAGCTCAGAGTAATTCTGTGGATCATTTTACTTCAGGGAATAAAACTTATGCCCTTTATGTTCAGAAGGTGCAGAGGGGATTGGCACAGAATGGACAGGGATGGGTCTGCACTGGGTCAGCTTCCAGTTTGCACTGGTTTGGTTGTGCTTGGAGCTGGTGGGAGCCCCTGGCTGCTTTCAATTCCTCAGTCATAGGAGGATGGGGTTGGACCCTTCCCTTTCTTGGGAGGGGGCAGACCCTCCCTTCTTGGATCTTCCCTTCCAGGCAGGTTTGAACCTTCTCTTCCAAAGCAGCAGAGCCCCATATCTGCGCCGCCACGATCTTCCCATGGGCCCTGGTAACAAACTTTGGTTCCAGGTGTGCTGTGCCAGAGTTTGTAGTCCCAGTTATCCCTGAGGAATGGGAGGGGAAAGAAAACCGCCCGTGGATTTACTTCCCCCTCAGTGTCTGTAAGTCTGCACACACAGACAAGCCCAGTTCTCTGAAGTCCATAATGCCTAGGCTGGCTGAAGGTGCTGCTGTTTATGGCACCATTCAGTTTAGACTCATGGGAGTGGGATAATGGGATTTTTTTGGAAGGAGCTGTTGTGAAGGAGCAGCAAACACCTGCTCTGGAGCCACATAGGGAACAGGGAGAATGCTGAGAGCAGGATCCTGGGAAAACACTGCTTCCAGTTAAGGTCTCGGGTTCGGTTCAAGTTACAAAATGTGTTGGCTCTTTATCTTTCGGTCTCTGCAGAGCAATGGAAAGATGTCACACCGGTTTGGTCGTGACCTGCTTTGTTTTTTTCCATCCTGGTGGCAAATGTCAGGGGTTCACACAGTCACCCCACTCTGAGTTGGAAGCCTCTCTGACCCCCCCAGATGTTTCCGCAGTAAATCACAAGCTTCTTTTGCAGAAGCAGAAATTGAGGTCGATATGCAAAAGAAAATATGAGCAGAGACGGTGTCTAGGTGGAGAAACGCTCCCAAGGTGGAGGGGAGAGACCGCGGGGTCACGGAAAAACAAACACTTGTGCTGGGTAAAGCCCTGCTCAGCAATTCCCTGGGGAGCTACCAGCCTGGATCCCTTTTATTTCAGCTCCTCCCCACAGTGAGGAGCTGAGCTGGGAGGCTGTTTTAGCCGAGCTGCTCCACTAATAGGCATTTATCAAAAAAATTGTAGGAAATCAAGTTGTGATTGCTGGTGCCAAGGAAGTGTCACGGACACTCTCAGAGAGTGAGGACTTGTCATCCTTTGGCTGTTTCCTCTTGTCATGGAATCTCTCTGGGGATGTTTTGGTGGTAATTGGATTCTGTGCAGTAAATCCCTCTCTCTCCTGCCACAGCCCTGTTCTGTCTTCTCTGCTCCCCATTGCTGAGGGCTCTATGGAGAGGGTGCTGCTTCCTGCTGAGCTCCCAGCCAGAGCTCCAGGCTGTGAAGAGGGGGTCAGGATTCTTCATGGAACCATGAAATGGTTTGAGTTGGAAGGGACTGAGGGGATACCTCAGAAAAATATTAGGAAAAAATTTGCCCTGTGAGAGTGTTGAGGCCCTGTTACAGGTTGCCCAGAGAAGCTGTGGCCGCCCCATCCCTGGGAGTGTTCAAAGCCAGGCTGGATGGGGTTTGGAGCAACCTGGTGTAGTGGAAGGTGTCCTTGCCCATGGCAGGGGGTGGGACTGGATGAGCTTTAAGATCCCTCCCAACCCATTCCATGATTCTATGAAAACTAGGTCATAATTTAAGTTAGCTGGTTTTTAGGGATGTGGAGGCTGCACAGGGAAGGGTCTCAGCCTCCCGTTCCATCCAGGCACTGCCCAGTGTGCCGGGGATATGACAGCCTGAAGCGGGGACATCAATAATACAGTGGATGTTATTCAAATGAAGGCTGCCACTTCTTCTTGGTGGGAATAACCCCCTGGGTAATCTCTGCACGTACTTATCTGCTCCTGTAATTGCTTTCTGCAGAATCACTCCAAAACAAGTGGTGCTGGCGGGATGCTGCTCTCCCTACTCTTCCCTCGGCTGAGCCAGCCCCTCCGGAGCCTTGTCCGGGACCTGTCTTGCTCCAGATGGGGGTGGAAGAGGGCTGGCTGTCCCCACAGGGGTCTGCAAACAACCTGGGCCACCTGCAGCAGTGACATCACACCTGTTTTCACCAGGGCTTTGGCTTTTGGTGACAAAATCGCCATCGTTGACCAAAATGGGGAGCACACATACAGGGACCTGCTCAGCCAGAGCCTGCATTTATCCCAGGAGATCTGTAGAGTTCTGGAGTGCTCCAGCAGGGACTTGAAGGAAGAAAGGATCTCATTTTTGTGTCCCAATGATGCCTCGTACGTGGTGGCCCAGTGGGCCTCGTGGATGAGCGGGGGCATAGCAGTGCCCCTGTACAGGAAACACCCCGTGCCGGAGCTGGAGTACGTGATCCAGGATTCCCAGAGCTCTCTGGTCATTGCAGCCGAGGAATACGTGGGGAAAATAGCCCCTAGTGCCAAGAAACTGGGAATCCCAATGCTGCCGCTTCCCAAGTCCCGTAGCGATGGATCCACAGGCCATGCAGCTGTGGAAGAGGGTCCCTTGACAACCTGCTCCTCGTGGAAAGACAGAGGAGCCATGATCATCTACACCAGCGGGACAACGGGGCGGCCCAAGGGTGTCCTCAGCACCCATGAGAATGTGCAGGCTGTGGTGAGTGCTGTTCTCCCTCCAGAGTCTTGGATTTTGGAGGTGGTTTGGGGTTGCAAACACACCTTCCCACTACCAAATTCCTGCAGGGAGCTGTGAGGCTGTAACTCAGAAATCCTCAGCACTTGGAAGGTGAACACCCAGAAGTGTTTGAGGCTCTAACCCTTGGCCTGGTGGTGTTGCTGCAGCTGCACCCCAGGGCAGGTGGACTCTCCTCCCTACTTTCCTGGAAAGCAGAAGGATGAGACCTGTGGTAAAAAACCTGATTTCTTTGCAGTTTGCTTCTCTACACTGTGATTAGGGAAGAATCTTTTCTCCTGACTGGAATATATCTTAGCCCAGTGCTGTGTGAAGCCTGTGCATTATTCAGCTCTGTATCCCCAAGGCAAAAAATCCATTAGCTCTCAGAGCCAAAAGGAATTAAAAGTTTGAATGAGCCTGCTGACTACATCACCACTTGGTTATCAGTGCCTGCAACTGCTAGACTCCTGCCATTAGGGAAAAAGGGCAGGGAATACAGTAGGCCTTAGGGATACCTCTGGGAGCTGACGTTTTTCTGGGCGCTCGGATACCATGGTGTTGGGAGTGGAATGAAAGCCTTGATGGATAGAGCCAGGGCTTGGCTATATTGGGCAAAGAATCTGTTCCCTTACAAATATGCTGATCATTTGGGGCTGGCCTGAGCAGTTCCCATCCTTTGTGCTGTCGTCCAGAAAGCCTAAAAGCTGCTCCCTGCCCTGTGGAAGAGGATTGTGAGGGACACGACCAAATTCCGCTGTTCAAATGCTTTTTTATTTTTAGGTGGCTGTAAATAAGTTTTCCAGTTGCCAGCACTGGGCTCTGAAGGGCATTGGTCACCCAGAAACCTGATAATTATCCCTTCAGATAATTATCCCTTCAGAGCAGAGTTTTCTGGAAGCTTGTTACGTCAACATTTTTTACTAGTATGAAACCTACTTTCTGTTTATCAGTGGTTTTCTGCTCCTACTGTTTATCCCTTGCAGGTGCTAAAAGCCTGGTGTCATCAGTGTCCAAACAGTCAAGAGAATTCTGGGAAAATTAGTTTTTTTATTACTATTGCTGCTAAGTCTGCATGTGTAGCAGCAGGCTGATATTTTTGTAGGCCCTGCTTAAAATCACTGTTGACTATTTCTCAGCAACAAGGAAGGGCTTTGCTGATGATATAAAGATGCAAAAGGCGTTCCTTTTCTGTTCTGCTGTTGTGGTGGGAATTTTGCTCGTGCTGATCCTAAAGGAAAGATTCTGTGCCCAGGCAGGTCTGTGATTCCTGCCACTGGCTGTGCCCAGGGATTTGGGGTTTGGATACCTTGGGAGAATCCTTCCTCCTGCCCTAATGCTGTGTTGTTTGTTTTGTTCTGCAGACCACAGGGCTGGTTGAAAAATGGGAGTGGAAGAAGGAGGATGTCATTCTGCACGTGCTGCCTTTGCATCATGTCCACGGGGTGATCAATAAGCTCCTGTGTCCTCTGTGGGTGGGAGCGACGTGCATCATGTTCCCGGAATTCAGCGCACAGATGGTGAGCCTGGAGGGATTGAGCCTTGCCTTTGAAATTCAGCAGCAGGACCCCATGCATTGTAATTAGAGCAACTCTGGAAATAAGTTCTTTAAGAATTCCAGGCTCTTTAGCCACTGGCTGTGTGTGGTTCACAACGCTCAGTCCGGGGTAAATGCTATTCCAGAGGCTGCAGCTTGTTTAAACGTGACGTACTTAACACTGCTCCTCCTTGTGGGGCTGGGGGTCTCTGACTGCTGGTAGGCCCTTCCACGGACACTAACTCTGGGTGCAAATTCTCTTGGTGGGCTCTTAATTTTTTTAGTGACAGGAAGGGTGGAAATGCTGGATTTTTCTCTTGGATACCGCTTGTAACTGTGCTGCTTGTTGGCTATTTTGATACCTTGCATTTCACAGAATCACAGAATCATTCAGGCTGGAAAAAATCTCCAAGATCAAGTCCAACCTGTGACTGATCACCACCTTGTCAGCTAGACCAGAACACTGAATGCCATGTCCAGTTGTTTCTTGAACACCTACAGGGATGGTGATTCCCTGGGCAGCCCCCCTTCCAATCTTATATCCCTAGTATTTTATATGAGATTAAATGATGAAACACAGCCTTCAGAGTTTCTTGCAGTAAGAGTAATACTGGTTCTCCTCACTTGCATGAAAGCACTGCTCTTCCTCTCTGGAGAAACAAGTGTTAACAGAGCTGTGGTTTGGACTCGGGGATATGAGAGAGAGTTTGCAAATCCAGACCTTCTTGCAGCTTTTAGGAAAGGTGGCAGGAGGGAAACCTTATCTGAATGATGCATTTATAATGTTGTTTTTGTAGCTGAGCCAGGAAACACCAGTCCCAGCGTTCTGCTTCTCCTTTGTTCTGTGCAGCAGTGGAAGGTAAATGATGTAAAGAGAAGAAGAAAAGGGACTAGAAACAGGGCAAGCAGCAGGAAGGTGGAACAGGTTCTACAGTTCCCAGCTCCTGGGGTCCAGCACCATTCATCCACATCTCCCAGTGTTGTGGGTGGTGTCTGCAGTGTCACTGTTAAGGGATAACTGGGTTTTCAGGTGCTGCTGCCTTCTTGTAGCAGAAGGGAAATGTGTGATGTCACTGCAGAATTCCCTGGGAAAGTGAAAGGAGCCTGTCAAGCCTGTGCTGTGTAACTAAACAGACTGCTTTACCTGTTTGTGTTTGTCCATATCCTTGTCACACTGGAAGGACAAAGTGCACAGTTGTGGGATACACCTGGAAGCCTCTGGCAGTGCTGCTACCAGGGGAGGGTAAGCTCTGGCTCCAATCTGAGTGATGGCAGGACCAGGGGACTTCTTCAGTGCTTATTTCTGCTTCTCAGAGAAGCAACCACAGAAAATGGGCACTTACTTTCTTATGTTAAGATGGCTTTGATGCCTAAACACAGATCCTTTGGGGTGGAATAGCTCCAGAATCCCAGAGGGGCAGCTCTGCACTTGAATTTTGAGACTAAATTGGTAGGATGCTGCAGTAGAAGGTGGCAGGAAGGTCCCTTGGCAGCTGTAACCAGTGCTCTTTCCTCTATGGTCGCTGCCAAATTGTCCTCCCCTGACCTGAGGGTGTGACCCCAAAAGCTCGGGGTGCAGCACGAGTGTGCTGTAGCAGGGAGTGTGGCCAGTGCTGGGAGGCAGAGCCGGTGCCGGGATCCTGGAAGCAGAGCCTCTGGAGGGCGCGTTGCTCCACGTCCTGTGCCACCGGTGATTGATGGTCCCTTGTCCCCTGGTGTTTTTCTCTGCTCTCTCCCGACATCTGCAAATCAATGAGCTGACATTGAGGGATGGGTTCAGGATGGGGGAGCGGGACACCCCTCCTGCCTTCCCTGATCCAAGCTCTCCCCAGACGTGTCCAAGGGCATGCGGGGACAGCGCCGGAGGCGGCTGCTTGACCCTGGAGCTTGAACTTGGGCAGGGAGGTCGGAGTGCTGTTCTGGGGCCTCTCAGGTGCACTGGGGCTCTGAAGGACGTCATTTGCTGTTCTATTTTTTGTATTCTCTTTATTTTTCCGAGGGCCTCCCCTGGGAGCTGCAAGTGGTTTGATCGACACTACAAAGCGAGCACAGGAGGGTAAATAAGGCTTTCTTGTGGAGTTTAATGCAAGCTGCCTTTCAGTTCCACTCTATTTTCACCAGCTGTTTACAAAATGCCCTTTGCTACTGAAATCAGCTTTCAGCAAAGCAGCAGTGGAGGATTTTGCCAAAGGAGCCCAAGTTTTGCCGTGTGCTTTTTTTCCTTCACTGCACCTTGAGAAAGCAGCCAATTATAGTGTGATATAAAGAAACTCGACTGGCAGCTAAAACACTTGACAGGCTGATCAAAACAAGGCGAGGAACTTACTCTCAACCTGCTGCAGACATATTTAGCCTTGAGTGATACTGGCAAAGGTTCAAGAGAAACCGCAGCAGCACACCCGATGTGTGTTTGGTTTCTAATCACTAACACTTCATTATACAAAATAAATACTTTATTATTACAGTGTTTATTAAATTACATAATTTGCGGCATGCCTTATAGTCGTGGATACAGATGGCAGTCTGGGTTTGGTGGTGGGAATAATGCTCTTTTTTTTTCTTTTTCTTTTTTTTTTTTTTCCCCTGAGAAGACAGTTCCAGCCCCAGACCAAGGCTTGCTTGTCATTCCCTGTGGTGCAGTGTTAGGAGGTGGCAGCTTTCAGACCTTTCCATCTGTTTTTGGAAGCTGGCCAAGAAAAGGTTAAAAATCAGGACTGTGGAGTAGCCCCAGTGTCCTGACCAACATCCTCTCTCTCACTAAACCAGCATCTGATGTCTGTGGCTGCACACAAGCTACTGCTGAGGCCAGGAGGACTCGTTAAATTGTACTGAGGTGCCTCAAGCGTGAAAGTTGCTGCATAAAATCAGATTCTTTTTATTAAATGAGGACATCCATTACTCTGCACCAGCTACTGTACATGTTATAATTCACTTTATAGCACCATCTGTTAAGATTGTCTTGCTTAAGCTTTTCCCAGCATCTTTTTATTGCAAGTTATTAAAAAATATGGCTGCATCTATTAATCATTTATTAATAAAGGGTTTATAAATGGACCCTTAGTTTCCAGAATTAGTCGACTTGTACGTGACATGCAAAGTCCTCTAGTGCTTGTACTCCTTGGGATGGAGTATCTTCACAGGGAGCCCTTCTCTGCCTGGGGGCTGTGGGAGCAGCATCCACTGTGCCTGTCTGTGCTTCTGGGCTCGGGAATGGCAGGGATGGTTGAGAGGGAGAGTTTTCAGCACTGCTGTGGGCATGGAGCAGGCAGGAGAACATCAGTGAGCCTGGCAGTGTGTTCCTCCCAGCAGCTGTGTGGGGCACAGCTGGCTGTGATATAATTATTTTAGTGTTTTTCAAGGGTGAGAACTGGGAGGGCAGAAACCTCCTCTGGAGCCAGAGCAAGCTGCAGCCTCAGCATCCCTACGTGATCCTCCCACCATAACCTGCTTTCAAGCTGAGTTTACTTCTCCAGCTGTGCTGTTCCTGTTTGCATTCCTCAGCTGCTGTTGACCCTATCCCAGGTGCCAGTTTTTTTCTTGTGCAGGAGGAGACATTTAAAAGATGGTATTTTTGTGCAGTCTGGTGGCCAGAGAGAAGAGATTAATGCCTCCATTAAGGGAGGACTGCAAGGTGAGCCTTCTCCTACTGGGCAGCAGAGAAAGCCTGTGACCGAGTGCTTTTTGGAGGCCTCTGGGTTTGCACTGAGCACTCACTAGAGCATCCATTCCCAGGGGCTCCCTCCTTCCAGCTCTCTCCCTGCAGCAGTTCAGGCTGCTGAGGCTGAGCACACCCTGTGTGGTGATGGTAGCTCCATGGAAATGTCAGTGAGTCTGGAGAGACGGAGCCAGGAGAAGCCGTGTGCCCTCCATGCAGCTGCTCTTGCTGTGACAGTCACACGTTGATGTCCCCATCCAGACCAGGACATGGCTGTGCCAGGTACCCTAAAGACAGGAGCATTTTGGAGCAAATTGTGAGGTCAGTGTCTGCTTTGCAGGATCCTCTGCTGAGGCTTTTGGTTGAAGAGGATCCATTTGGAGTTTGAACAACAGCAATGTCTTGTCTTTGCTTTGGATCAGCCCTGCTCTCGCCTTAAGGGAAAGATGTTCTAAGAGCAAGATGCTCCTTGTCAGCTTTGCATTGATAAACAGAAGATCAGATCCCAGGAGGTCTTCCAGTCTTTTGTGCAGAGTGGGAAATAAAAGTATTCAAAAACCTGAAGGAAAAAGCTTGCTCTGATGAGTGATGGGAGAAGCTTATGGAAATCTCCACTCTGGTGACCCAGTTGTGGCGTGTGCTGCCCGCTCAGCTCTGCCGGGCAGGTTTCAAGCTGTGATGTGCTGCCTGTGCAGTGACAGCCCTGGCTGTGCCCTGCAACCCCTTCCATGATAAATATGCCAAGATGCAGATTTACTGCCCTACAGTTGCAAAGAGCTGCTGTTTTGGTGCCAGCCTCACTGTGTGTGTGACTTAAGGTGCCTCCGAGGATCAAACCCTCTAAAAACCATACCCTGTTTTACAATGTTGCAAGCAAAGCCATCAAAATTATCTTATTTAGACCCTTCTTTCTAGGTAACTAGGACTGCTGAGTGCCCAGAGGAGGTGTGTGATTTGGGACAAGCTTGCCCTGACATGCTGTGGGTGTGCTGTCACCGGTGGCACCTTTTCCTGGTGGTGGGAGGGAGCCGCAGACCTGGCGCTCGTTGAGGTTGTGTGTGAGGTGTCGCTGTGGGGTTGCTGCTGCGTCGTGTGTGGTCACAGCCCTGACTTCCCAAAGGCCAGGAGAGCCTGTGCTACGTCTGGAAGCAAACTTTGTCCTTGGCTCTGCTGTTATCTGTGTGAGCCAGGCTGAGCTGATTCTTTATACCTTGGCTGGGCTGCATGGGGAGAGCCAGGGCTTGGCAGCCATGGTTGCCTCTGGGAAGGAGAAGTGTGTACCACACTGAGCCTCTCCCCTGGATCTGTCACTTCTGCAAACATCACTCTGGGCAGCTCTTTTAGTTTATTTTTAAAAGAAAAGCAAATCCAAGCAGAGGATTCTGAGCTCCAATAACCAAGCGTGCTGGGGATGGTGGCTCCTATCCAATTTCAGCAGGAGAAAGGCTGGAAGTCTTTTCATCCATTAATGGGAGGCTTCAGAGGAGTAATTTTATTTCAGACTCAAAGAGGAGTCGGTGGAGGGAGGAGCAGGTCACTGGTGAATGGATTATGTTTGATCACTTCTCACAGACCTGGCTTTAAAAAGTTAGAGGTTTTCTTCCCATCTCCCCAGATCTGCCGTCTGTCCTCAGCATCTGTTCCCAAGTAATGGCTTTTGATGTGTGTGGGGAAATACAAAAAATGGAACCAGAGCCTGTCATATTTACTTATATTTCCAGGTCCCAGGGAAAGCGCTTGCTCCTTTCTGTATGCCTCCAGCATAGGAAGGGTTTAAAAGCTTCAGCCTGGAATGCAGAGGGGCCATCAAACTGCGCTGATGAATAAATGATTAAAACCAGAGTCATGCAGAGCGTGAACAGTTTGGGGTTATAACAAACATCAGATGAAGCCACCGAGGGCCCAATTTCCCTTTGAAGAGAAGAGTGTTTCTCTCTTCCTGCATATTGTTCGTGAAGTGTTGGCTGCTCAGTCCTTGGGAGTGAACAGAGCTTCCCCTTGGTGCTCTCTCATCTCGCGTCATGCCCATGTGCTTTTTGGGGATAAATTGCAGTCGGATTTGTAAGCGTGGTCCTGCCATCCCTTTGCTGCTGCTGTTGAGTTACAGGAGCTTCCCACCCTCGGTGTTTGGCACAGGGTCTTCCCAAATGAGCAGCTGCTTTGGCTACAGCCGTGTTGTGCCTGTTGCTCACACAGACACTCTGAAAAACATCAGCAGCCCTTTTCCTTGCCGGTGCTTCCCACATGGCAGTGGTCGATGCAAAACACAGACCCATTTCCCCAAGGAAAAGGCAAGTAAAGGGATGAGTTAACCTTGCATTAGGGGGATTGTTACTTTTGAAAAGGTTGAAAAAAATTCAATAACAACTGAAAATGGTACAATAATTTTATAGGAGAGAGGCGCTGTTGTGTCTGTCAATAGAGGCAACAGCACATTATCCATTTGTGGGCTGATGGAAAAATCCATGCTGGTATTCGCTTCCTTTTCAGCCCACAGTTCCTCTAATTTTGGGAATCTTGTGTCAGGGAAAATCTTACATTATATAGGATACATATGATTTTTCCACCTTCTCTTCTTTTTTTGCATGAGAAGATGCCCAGGTGTTGGTGGGTTTGTTGTTTCTGTCTAGTTCATGTCTTTGCACTTCTCCCTCTGTAAAAGGAAATAATGATTGCCTTTTCTCCTCTGTGCTCACATCTCTTCCTTCAGGTGATCTTAGTGGGCCTGGGGGCTGGTTGGGAAGGTTACTCTATGGAATGACCGTCCCTTGGAGCAGCTTGTATGTTCCTTCATCCTCATTCACCATCTGCACACTGGAAAAAATATGTGGGAAAAATCTTCCAGCTGTGTCTCGCTGTGGTTGGTTTGTACCCACTGGTGTCATTTTCTCCTTTTTTTTCCATGTAATGATGGCAGAATCCCACTGGCCAGACCATGATATGCTTTTGAGCAGTGGGAGGGAGGGAAAATCAGGAATGTCATGCTGACAGGAAGGCTCTTGGGAACATTAGGTCTCCCATTTCTCTGCTGGCACAAGCAGTCCTGTCCTGTAAGCATTCACTGTTGTTATTCCTGATGGGAAGCTGTTCCCACTCTTGCTTCTTGCAGTGAGAAAGTTTTTGTTTCTAGCCCTTGGTTATCTTAAAAGGAATCTTGATACTTCTCATGAGCATATTCCATTGGAAGGCTGCTGCTTCCCTTGGTGCAGAGCCCAGCAGCCCTGGCACAAAGTGCCGCATTTGCCTCTTGAATCCAGGGCTTTTCAAAAGCATTTGGAGGCCTGAGGTGTCAGGTGAGCAAAATAAAATGGAATGATGGGCTGCCAATATCCTTTCCAGAGGGAATTGATGTGGTGCTGGTGACACGTGGGAGAACAGAGGGGGAGATGGATTGTGCTGCTCCAAGCCCGATGCTGTCGGAGGATGCCGGGTGCTGGAAGGACAAAGTGGCCTCTTGCTACAAGCCTGTCCAAGCCCCGGGATTGATTGATTAGTCCCAGGTAACAAGGCTTTCCCAGATCCTTCTCTCAGAGCGTGAAGTTAGAGTTATAACCCAGGAATAGCTGTTCCAGCTGGCTGGGCAGTGACGAGCCCTCCGGCCAGCTCGGGCTCTGCGGAGTGTTTGGAGCTGCCAGCTTTGTACCACGGCTCGGGGCTTAGTCCTGTTAAACACATGGGAAGGATCCAGATTTGGCTGAGCAGGAGCAGAGCAGGTGGGGAGTTTGGCTGTCAGCAGATCACCCCGGCAGCTGGTGGCACAAATCCAAAGGCAGCTGCTTATCCTCAGGAAGGGGCTGTTGCTGGGGCGAGTCAGACTGACATGGAAAATGCTGCTCCCGTGGCTGGAGTGGCAGGAGAAGGATTTTATCTAGGGCAGGAGTTCAGCAGGCACAGCAGGACAGGGAATTCTGGGTGCAAGAGAAACTTGCTCTGTTTAGAGTGATAGTGTTGGTTTTTTTCAAATCCAGAATCATATAAAAATAACTCTACTGCATGGCCAGACTGGAAATCTCCTGTGTTCCCTGCAGCTGCTCAGGACTCGGGAAGACAGAAAAAATCACCCAGCAAGGATTGAACAATCCTGAGCATCTGTCTCCCTTCGATCTCTTCGACACAGTCCTGATCTCTGCTTGCCATCACATATCTCTCCTGCCCACAGCAATGGCTCTCGGGGACACCAGGCTGAGGAGAGCAGGTCCATTCAGCCCTGGCTTTGGAGATGGCAGCCCTTCTCCATCCTGCTGCCTTGAATGCAAAAGATATTGGAAGGTTGAAGAGAAGAAGAGGCTAGGAGAAGTATGACAGGGATTAGATCCTTCAAAATGCAATTTTGCAATATTTGGGTTTGGGGGTCATGCTGGTAGGTGGGGTTTCTGCAGGGAGTGAAATATTCCCTCTCTGAACATATCACCCATCAGTCCAGGAAGTCACATTCCAACTCTGCTTTCCTTGATGCCCAGGGGATCTTGCAGCACTCATGTCCCACTTCCCGAGGTGTCTAGGGGATTTCCACTTTACGCATTCCTCCCTCCCCATTGCATCTCTGGGCTGGGAGGCAGCACGAACTTCCTCCTGTTGGATGGGACAGTGCCTTTGTGGATGTGTCCTGCTCTATTAAGAATAACACCGTGGTGGTGGTGGGGTTTTTTTTAGGAGCTGATTGTTCTGGAGCAGTGGAGTGCGAGACGTGGGGGGAGGCGGCACTGGTGCAGCCAAGTTGAAAGTAATGAAATGGAGCCTGAGTGAGCAGGACTGAGGGGAAGGGGCAGAGTGACAGCATGAAGGAGAATCACTGGTTCACCTTCAATCAATGCCTGCCTTGCCGGGGTTTTTGCAGGCGCCCGTGTGCAGCTGAGCGTGCGCAGGCAGGAGCGGAGGCAGTGCCCTGTCAGGAGCTGTTAGGAAATACATTTGTCACCAGCAGGGCAGGGACCGGAGTGAGGGGAAGGAGGCGGCTGTCAGTGGGGCCTCTGATTTATTGATGGCTTTGGATCGCTCCTGTCTTGGGAAGAGCTCACCTAGGGGACAAGTGGCAAGGTGTGGAAGGAGTGGGCCCAACTGTGGTTATTTGTGGCTCCTGTGCCTTGTTAACTGCTCCCAGGGGCTGCTTATCCCAGAGAGGGTCTTCATCCACATCCCAGTAGAGCTTGCTGCTGGAATTTGCCCCCATTAATAGTTCCCACAAGTTAGCAGGAGTTGCAGCTGAAGAATATCTGTCCCATAGGGACGTGGTTTAGTGGTGAACATGGTGGTGCTGGGGTAACAGTTGGACTTGATGATCTAAGAGGTCTTTTTTAACCTTACTGATTCTACGACCGTTCCTCTTAGGAAGAGTGTCATTGGTGTACTGGCCCTCCTGGACAGCTACTTTCTCCTGCTGCCTCTGGTTTACCTGTGGATTCTGGTGGCTCCTCTGAGCTTGCTGAGGACATGTCTCTCTGCACACACTCAGCAGCAAAAGACTATTTTCACAGAGTCTCACTCCCAGTTCCAGTGTGTGATCTTCTTCTTCCAGACTCTGCCATCTGTCTTCAAAGATTTTCTCCCTCAGAAGTTTGAGTCCATGGGCTCCTACCTGTGTATTGTGTTCTTCAGGTGTGACTTAGTGTCTTTCCAAAGAAGAGCTCCCATGCTTTGGACAACTGGTGGCTTTGTGTAGCCTTTGGAGAATTGTACACTATAAGGGAATTAACTGGTTCTACCACAAGCTTTTGTCTTCAAGAGCAAATTCTTGGCTGCAACGTGACAGCACTAAAAAATACTATTTCCATCATCTTGTGAGTGTGACAGTGGGTGGGTGATCCACTGATGAGATAAGAGATGAACATTGTGCTTTGGGCAATAAGAGCATGATGAAGGTTGGGAAGTTGCTCTGGACATGGATGAGGTGCACACAATAGGCTTCCAACTGTTTGTACTTCTCAGAAGTCTTAAATAGCAGAGGTGCGTTTTTATCCATGTATTTTCCCTTCCTTTCTAGGTTTGGAAGAAGCTGCTGAGCTCCGAATCTCCCCGTGTCAGTGTCTTCATGGCAGTGCCCACCATCTATGCCAAGTTGATGGAGTATTACGACGAGCATTTCTCCCAGCCACAAGTCCAGGATTTTGTGCGGGCCTTTTGCCAGGAGAACATCAGGTGGGAGAGCAATGCCCCTGTGGTCAGGGGCTGCTGGTGCCTGGCTGTCCCCACCAGATTTTCCTTTCAGCACCAGCTCTTTCAGTGCTGGTTGTTGTGCCTTAGCATCTCTTTGACAGGAACAAGGGTGACATTATTTAATTATGAGCCACTCTTGCATGGTAAAGCCAGAAGGGGCTCGTTATCTGTGTCACCCTGACTTTGTCCTGCAGCCCAAGCTTGTACTCCAGGATCCCTTTGAGGAGACTGTCCTGTCTCAACTTAAACCCCATATCAGGCAGAATGTGTGAGGAACATCTTTGATCCCGATTAAAAGCCTTTTGGTGTTTCTGTCTTAAGGCAGACTTTATGTGACCCTGTTAGGCTGCAAATTCCCTGGAGAAAAGGTAATCTTGGATACTCTCTTATCTGGGCTTTCCCTGTGCAGGTTAATGGTGTCAGGCTCAGCAGCTCTGCCCGTGCCTGTCCTGGAGAAGTGGAAGAGCATCACTGGGCACACCTTGCTGGAGAGGTACGGGATGACTGAGATTGGGATGGCACTTTCTAACCCTTTGCATGGAGTCCGTGTCCCAGGTAGGAGTCTTCAGAGGGTGCCCACTCACTGTTTGGAGGTGTGTGCTGGGAAGTGGTTGTGGGTTTTCTCTGCAGAGTATATACATGAGTGAGGAGCAGGCTACAGGGATGCTGGTAGGGGAATTGGCATTGGGAAACCAGGACATGGATGTGTGGGTAGTGGCTGGTTGTTCCTTGGGATCAAAGCTGTGTGTGCAGACCTCACAGTGGTGCCCTCTGGCCTGAGCAGCCGGGCTGGCAGAGTCCATATTGATACTTTATTACTTCCAAAATCATAGTGAATTGAAGCACTGGGACTGTTTCTTCAGCTCCCGCTCCCTGGAGCTGTGTTTCTGTGTGGTGTCACACAGGATTCTCCACACAGCAGTGCTTGTCCAACCCATCAGTGCTGAACACTTAAAATAGGATGTCTGCTCACTCCTATTTTAGAGCCTGTTTCTTGCCTCTTCAGGAATTAGAAATTGTCACACCTCGGTGTACTCTCTGGTCCTGTTCTCTCCTTGTCCTCCCCTCCTTCTCTTAGCTACACTTTGTGACTCCTCTTGATATCTGTACTTCGTGTAACCTAGAAATAAATTGATCTGAACATTACAAATATAAAATACCCCCACCCTCCCTTGGTTGGAGCGTGGCCATCTGTGTGCTGAGCACCCACCCTGTGCCACCTGCCTCCCCACACACTGTCTGTGCAGACATGGCACCATATGCAGCCTTTTGGGGGATCTGGGGGGCTGTCCTGGGTGTCACAGCTTTCCCACAGCACCTCAATCCCATGGGATTCAGGATTCGCGCAGGGAAAGGGGAAGCCACAACTCCCTTCACTGACTCCTCAGCCTGAGAACAGCTTGAAATACAAACTCTGTTTTACTTTTGCAGAGTAACTCTCATTCCCCCACTCCACCTCAGGCACTTTTCCCTCCCTCCAGAAGCCCCATCCCTGCAGGCAGAAAAGGGAAGCAGGCAGGGAAACAAGATTCCCACCTGCATTAGCTCAAACTGTGAGCCCCACACTGCAGGGTGAGAGTGCAGAGATCATTCCGGTGTCCCTGTGGCCTGGTTATATTTGCTTTTTATTGATCTTCAGGAAGAGAAACGAGTGGAGCCTCTAGAAATTTCCCAGGAAACTAAAAAATAAGACTGCAAGTAACATGGTGAGACAGAAGCTGGCACCCAGACGTGCAGCTCCTGCCCCAGAGCTGGGTGACCATGCTCGGAGGCATCATCCCTGAGGATGTTGGGGTCTGCAGGGGACCTGGGGTTAAATCCTCTCATGCAGCCAGAGCAGAGGAGCTGGGGACTGTCACTTTAGCCCCATCCAGGGGCTCCTGTGGCCCCAAGAGGAAAAAGAAGCATCTCATAAAGGTGTGGATCAGCGAGAGACTGTACAGAGAGGAGGCTATAATTGAATAGGCTTGATTAATTTATTTCAGGCAGTGTCAGCTGGGAAGCAGATGGGTGAAGCTGAGGCATAATTTACTGGAGCTGTGAAAAAGCTTTTGATCTAGTGCCCTGTTGGAGGCTGGGCTGGGAGGTCACCATGTACCACAGAGCATCCAAGTCAAATGTGATGATGGGCTGGGAACAGGGGACATTTGCCAGAGAATTTCTCCTGGAGTGGAAGCAGCACATGCCCTTCTCTACTGCTTTGACCTGTTGGAGAGAGTCCAGAGGAGGCCACCAAGATAATTAGAAGGATGGTGCACCTCTCCTGTGAGGAAAGGCTGAGAGAATTGGGATTTTTCAGCCTGGAGAACAGAAGCTTTGGCTTGACCTAATTGCAGCCTTCCAGTGCCTGAAGGAAGCATGCAAGAAACATGGAGAGAGACTATTTACAAGGCTCTGGAGTGACAGGACAAGGAGGAATGGCTTCGAACTGAAGGAGAGTAGGTTTAGATTAGATATTGGGAAAAATTTCTTCCCTGTGAGGGTGTTGAGGCCCTGGCACAGGTTGCCCAGAGAAGCTGTGGCTGCCCCATCCCTGGAACCATTCAAGACCAGGTTGGACAGGACTTGGAGCAGCCTGGTTTAGTGGAAGACGTCCCTGCCCATGGCAGGGAGTGGAATCAGATGATCTTTAAGGTCCCTTCCAGCCCAAACCATTCTATGATTCTTGAGCCTCTGAAGAGAGATCCTGGGGCTTCCTTTGCCCACTTCCACCTGCTTGGTGTGGCTGGGGAAGGGTCGAGTCCTCAGACCCTGCTCATCCTGCCCTTGTCCCCATTGGTGTCACCAGCAGCATGGCACTTCTCTCCACCCACAATACAGGTCTGAAGGGGCATGGACGAGAATGTGAGGGCTTTAATTTTCAGAAGAAACAAAGATGAAAGATTTGAAAGATAAATGTTTGCTTGTATATGGTTAAAACCCTGCTTAAAATGCCTCTGTTTTCACCAGCTCTCATTCTAATCCCCCCTGGTGCTGTTACTGTGAAGGGAGATGAATAATTCATGGCCGGAGAATGCCTCACTGGGCCTAATCACCACTTTAATTGGAGGTTTAGATCAGAGGCAGCTAATAGCTCCTACAGCGGGGACTCCGTGTATTGTTGACAGTGAGATCGTTGAGTGCCTTATCGTTGGCCTGTTTCAATTCTCCCAGGACACCGCGGCACATAACAGCACCGAGGTACCCAGATACCGAAGGACACAGACCGCGGGGCCAATTAAATTTATCTGGGAAGAGCTGACAACTTTTTTAAACAGAGGAGAACCGGTGAAAGAATAATAGTGTCACTCCTTCCTGCCTGCAGCCCGGCTGGTGCCGCCTGCGCCGACACCACGGGCGTGGTGCCAGCAGCTCCTAACAGTCAGGAGCCTGCAAAGTGGAGAGAGCTGGAGGGAGCAAGAGGGGAAGGAGCAGGGATTTCTCCCCAGTTTCCACTCAGGATTATGTCTGGGGACAAAAGGAAGCCAGTGCTAAGTGTTGACACCCTGCTGATCACCACTGATTGTGGTCTCGCTGAAGCCAGGACATCCGGTGCTGTTCCTTTGGGAATGGGCCCAATCTTCTCTTGACCTCTTGGAGTTGGCACAGTGTGTATTTTGATGTGGTGGGTGGGCCTGGGAAGCTCTAGTCATTGTTTTCGCATGAATTTTATTAGTACTGTCAGGTTTGTGTAGTTCTAATCAATGATATGAGCTTTTCAGCCTTTACAGATGTTGAATTCCAAGTATGTCATTTTTCCTAAATACCAGAAAACCTTTTCCAGACCCAATATAAGGAAGCAGCTCTCCACCAGGGACTTGTTTTACATGTAGATTTTTGCTTTAGCCAAGTAGGAAACAAACTGGTAAAGCTGTGTTTGTAACTGTGATCTGAAACACTGTGTGGGGAACACGTCACTTCTCCGTGGCTTAGATTTGCCAGCACTGTGCTGAGCTTTGGTGTTTCCTTCTCTGAGACTAGAAGCGGGCACTAATCCCTGAGTCCTGCTGCCTATGATCCGTGACATTTCCATGCTGAGGTCAGCAGCTTGCATCCAGGGAAGAAGGATTTTCCAAGGAAGGTATCCAGCTTCTCTTGATTTGAAAAATTCCAAATCTGTGAGAGCCCATGGCACTTCCTTCTCTGGTTTATGTTCCCTCCATGAGCTTTCCAGGACTGACTTTGTGGTGTCTGCTCACTGTCAGGTGCCACGTTTTGTGAGCAGGTAGAAGTCTGTTCACCCAAGGCATTTTTCACCCTGGAGAAATTGTTCCCATAGAAGTCTAGAAGGCGGCTTCAACAAGCTTCCACACAACACTGATTGTATTTTCCATGACTTGTTGTCTGCTTCGAGGCCTCTTGGAGTCTCTCATAGCAGGTTTAAAATACATATGGTGTGATTTTTGGGGCTGGCCTGTGCAGAGCCAGGAGTTGGACTTGATGATCCCTTGTGGACCCCTTCCAACTCAAATATTCTGTGATTCTCTGATTCCGTAAATACCTCGACATGGCACCTCAGGGCACTTCTGGCTCATGGCTCCCTCTTCACCCTGCTGCAACCCTCTGTCTCAGGCTTTTGGCAGTGTCTGGCCAGGAGATGGGAGCAGCCCACGCAATGCTGGTGGTGAGAGAAGGAAGGACCTGGCTGTGTGTTGGCTGACCTGAATGCCGGAGGCAATTCCGAGCAGAGCAGACACGGATCACAGAGCTGCCACGTCGCTTTCTGTTTATTTCTTGCCAGATTTGCTAATTGTTCGGGTAGTTTCACTGCAATAAAATCTCACTCCCTCATAGCCCATCTGCTCTTGGCTCATCCTGCAGGGATGCCATAAATCTGGGCTACGACGACATATCTATTTCCATGGCAACTGACCAATGTAGCAAACAAAATCATGATGTCACGGATAGCAGATCTCCAGGGCTTGAAGAGGAGAATGAGACTAGGATAGGAAAGGTGTCACTTGAACCCAAATGCCTGAAATAAGAGTGACAAGGGGAAGACAGCACTGAGCTCCAGGTCCTGCACATCCTGCTGTAGGAACTTCACCAAGGTGAAGCTGATCCTGGCAGACCTGGAAAGCACTAACTGGATGCTGTTCAGGGGGAAAAATTGATCATCTCTTCAAATAAAAAGCACACTTACCAGTTTATAGAATCATAGAATCACAGAATGGTTTGGGTTGGAAGGGACCTTAAAGCTCACCCAGTTCCACACCCTGCCATGGGCAGGGACACCTTCCACTAGACCAGGTTGCTCCAAGTCCTGTCCAACCTGGCCTTGAAAAGTTCCAGGGATGAGGAAGCCACAGCTTCTCTGGGCAACCTGTTCCAGGGCCTCACCACCCTGACAGGGTAGAATTTCTTCACAATATCCCAATGTAAAGCCTTCCCTACTTCAGCTTAAGGCCATTCCCCCTTTTCCTGTCACTCCATGCCCTTGTGAAAAGTCCTTCTCGAATTGAAGCTCAGACCTGTCCAGTCCTCGTGAGCCAGAGGTTGCTTTGAGCTGTTGTCCCTCTCCCTGCTCAGAGGGGATGAAGGTCACAGGCCTCGTTTTGCCACAAGAACTGTTTTGTGCCGCTGAGATGCCGAGCGAGCCCTGCTGAGCCAGCAGATGCCCGCGGGTCCTGGTTGCTGCTGAGCCCATCAGACAGGTCACAGGAACAAAGCTGCCCTCTCTGCTGAGCTTTCAGGTGCTCCCCAGGAAGAGCAAGCACTAAACTAGGGGGTGGGAATGCTGTAGTTTGGTCACAGAACCACCTTGGAGCTCAATAGCTGACACTGTGTCAGCTTCCCTGGCTTTGAAAATTGAAACTTGTAGACGAACAGTGTGGTTTTGATCCTTGCTTTTCTCCTGTGATGTTTTCTATACAGTGTATTGATGTCTCCTAAAACTGAGATAATCCCTTCCAATTCTCACACTGTTAAGCCTTTGCCTCCCCTGTCAGGTTCAGACTGTAGAGGAGCCACTGGAGTAATCACTGTGCTCTTTCTTTTCACAGCTTTGTGTAGGTTTCATGGTGCCTTTTTTTTTTTTTTTTTTTTTTTTAAGAAAAAAAAGAAACGGCTTCATTACTGAGCTATGAAGCTGTGCTGAAGTCTTCAAAGACTGGCCAAGAGAGACTGTTCAGGGCTGGAGACACATTTGTTTTCTGAGGCATTTCCAGCACTGCCTGCTCAGCGAACAACAGCATATTGCACCGTCGTGACATTTGCATGCAGACACACGACGTGATCGAAGCCTTCCTGAAGGGTAACCCCCTGCTAGGAAGTTCTTTAGTGCCAGCACAGTCTGCAGATGCCACTGATAGACGAGCAGCTGCTCTTTTGCATCCTTGATTTTGTGATTTCCCAGAGGCTGTCCACTGTTCCCACCTTGTTTCCCTCTGTAGGTTCCGTGGGCACCCCGCTCCCGGGGGTGGAAGTGCGCATTGCCACCGAGACCTTGAAGAACGGGGCTCGTTCCTACACCGTCCATGCTCAGGGGGATGAGAACAGCACACAGGTAGTACTCAGCCCTGTTTGCTTCACTTTGAAAAGGTCTTCACTCATGGAAAGTTCTCTCCTTCCCAGCCCTGTGAAACCTCAAGGACTGAGGCTTCCACTGCTGTAATTCACAGGCAGTCAATTATGCTATTTAAAGGGTTTTGTATTCTTTTTTTGGGTTACTGTAGCCATGGTACTTTATGAACTGCACAAGTGCTGTGCACTGAATCATAGAATCATGGAATGGTCTGGGTTGGGAGGGACCTTTCAAGGTCATCTGGTTCCGCCCTGCCTACCCTGTAATGAGCAGGGACACCTTCCACTAGATCAGGCTGCTCCAAGCCCCGTCCAACCTGGCCTTGAACACTTCCAAGGATAGGGCAGCCACAGCTTCTCTGGGCAACCTGTTCCTGTCCCTCACCACCCTCTGAGGGGAGAATTTCTCCACAGTATTCCAACTAAAACTAGTCTCTTTCAGTGGGAAGACCTGGTCTAGTGGGATGCCCCAGCCTGTGGAGTGAGATGAACTTTAAGGTCCCTCCCAACCCAAACCATTCTGCAATTCTGTGATTGGAAGGGGAGGACTGGTGGCCTCGGGGGTTGCATTCATTTTGAAACAGCACTGGGGGAAACCCATCAGGTTTCCATGAAAATCCAGTTCTGTGCTGAGCTCTGACTGACACATGATGTCTACATCTGCAGTTCTGGTATCAGAAGTTGGATATCTGGGATGGGGAAGCATGATCTGCCCCCATCCCAGACATATGACTGCAGAAGCAGCCCAGCCCAGGGCTGGTCCAGGCTGTCCTGCTGCCTCAGCCCTTTCTCTTCCCACAGAAATAGCTGAACAGGGTCTGCATTCCTCCCACATTCCCTCATTGTGGGTGCAGGTCGTGTCGCTCCGTCAGATCAGTCCCCAGGTGATGTCCAGGCTTGGCTGAGCAGATAAATGTGTGTGTGAGGGAAATTACAGCCGTGTGGCTGTGTGGGTGGGAGACAGGCAGGCGTGAGATTCAACCTGAAATACGTGGCTTCACTCATTCCTCTGGGGAAATTGCTTCTCATCCAGCCACCTACATGTCGAGGGTTTGAAAGGAGCTCCCAGCCTGTGCAGGGTGTACAGAGACACTTCTGGAGTAAGCACTGGTGAAAGGCTCAAGAAACCCTTTTATTCTCTAAATTCTCTGTGCTGGCAGGTGGAGGAACCAGCAGGACCACAGGCAGTCCCGTGGGTGTGTTGTGCTCGGGGTGAGGCGGGTTGTGTTCTGTTTTCCAATGCCTTACGAGTGCTGGGTCCCACCCCAGACATGTAAAACTAGCCCGAGGGAGGGATGAGAGGAGCCACTCTGGCCAGGGATCACGGCTTTTTTTAAAAAACCCAACGTTTTCTGCTCTTTCCTCTGTGTCACTGCTGTGGTGTGGCTGAGCAGTGGGCAAAGCAGGAGACTCACCACATCCAGTTTTTGTCACTTCCCTGGATGGATGTTATGTTTCACAGGTTTGTCCCCTCATCCTAGAGTTAGCTCTTGGACTTTTTTTTTCCACTTATGTGGAACTGAGACATGAAATATAATGTGTCCCTTTTAATAATGATCCTATAATGCTTTTTGTCCCCTAAGGGATCTCTGGGCTCTTTACAAATTAGGTCTCAGACATGAGAATACCCAAAGGGCAGCTACTTCCAGGATGAAATGTGGATGTTGTTCTACTGAATTATAAGAGGAAAAAAAATGGGATGTTATTTTTCTGCTCAGTAGTTCTTCCACTTCCTTCTCATTGCATTGAGTGACCAGAGGAGGGGAGCCCAGCTGACCTGTGTCTGATGCTGGAAGCCTACCATCCCCTCAGGCCTTCAGAGAGCTGAGATTCACATAACTCTTCTCTTTTCCCTGTTTTCAGGCTGCTGGCGTTTATTTTTGGGAAAGAGGAATTGCCCTTTTATCCCAGCCATTTCTCACATACACCCTACGCCCCCACTGTAGGTGTCTGAAGTCCATATCCATGTCTTACCCTGCTCCCAGGAGCTCCCACCAGCTCTGGTGTTGGCTCCCTGCCCCTTGCTGATGGTTTGCTTTCCGTCAGGGTCTCCCTTGGGGATCTTTTGAACATTCTGGTGAATTCTCAAGTCATCAGCAAGGGAGGGTATGGGAAGGTGGCAGTTTACCTCTGGGTGTTGTCTGGTGGGTTGGTTCCTCTCTGAAACGCTGTCCCCATCTCACCCACCATTCCCCTTGTCCCAGCTTAACTGGGAGTTTCTTCAGGCTGAAGGGAAAAAAATGGTCCCATCTGTTTCAGGCCACCCTAGGAGACAGTGACTGGCTGGGTACCTCCAGGACATCCACAACATTTCCAGGAGGAGAGCCAGCTGCCTCTGTCCCTGGGATTGTCACAAGGTGGAAAAAACTGTCGCTGCTCCCAGCGTGTCTTGGCACAGGCGGATGTGCAGAGATGCCAGGAGTTTGAGTTTTATATGCCCTGGGCGTGCAGTGTGACTTTCCATGGCATGGCCAGGCAGGCAGGCAGGCAGGTGGTGACACCCCTCTGCTCCCAGGGATGCTGTAATTCCACTGCCTCACACCTGAGGTCCCGGGCAGAGCCTCACCTGCTGCCTGTCCCTGCCCCGAGACGCTGCTGCTGGCACTGTGTGCGCATCATGCTTGGTTAATAATTCATGTCAGCAGAGAATACGTCAGTGGAATTTATTTAAAACAAGGAGGATCTGACAGTCTGAGTGCTCATCATGCTCCACCAGTCAAAGGCCTGGCTTTGTTTAAATCAGCTCCTCCACAGCAGAGGGGAAGTCCCTGTGATGGGAAGATCCAGTTTGTGTCACCCTGCCTGGGCCACTGGATAACCCTGTGGCCTTTTCCTCGCATATTATGAGAAGGATGAACAAATCCTTCCTCACCCCCTTGCAGGAGGGCTCTGAGCCTTATGGAGTCTTGGTTGAAGGCTGGAAGGTCTGTGGTGTGGACCTGGCAAAGGCGGAAAGGTCCTGGAGGGATGGCTAGTGGTGGAACTGATGACAGTTGGAAATGGCTGGAGATGAGTCAGTGAAGGTTGGATATTCCCCCAGAGGGTGGTCGGGCACTGAGCAGGCTCCACAGGGCAGTGATCACAGCATCAAACCTGTCTGAGCTCAAGAAGTATTTGGGCAATGCTCTCAGGCACAGAGTGAGATTGTTGGGATGTCCTGCACAGAGCCAGGAGTTGGACTCAGTGATCCATGTGAGTCCCTTCCAACTCAGTGTATTCTGTGAGGGCGAACACCGTGGGGCTGATCCAGTGGGATGTTGAGCACCCCTGTAGGAGCTGGGTCCATGCCGTCTCTTCCCACCAGGCTCCTGTGAGCAGGTGATCTCTGTACGGGGGTGAGGCACATTGTCAGGGCAATCTGTGAGGCGTTCACACCTCAGCTGTGCCATGCAGACCCTCCTGACTGTGAGCAGAGCGTGCTTGCCTTTGCCAAGGAATTGTTTGTGGAGCCTCACGAGGTCACCGCCTTCCCCGCTTGTGTTGGGCTCAGGTTCCTGCCTTCTGCTCCCGCGACAACAGACTCTCTTCGAGCTGTTTATTCCCCACTAACACAGTCTCTCCCAATAGACTGAGGCGTTGAGCCCTTTCCTTTCACACCATCACCCTTTGGACATGTGAGATCCAAACAGGAGCGCAGTGGTGCTGGGGGAAGGAGTGTGGGTGGCAGGAGCAGGGAGGTGGGGAATGTTTCTGCTTTGCCATCCGGGAACTGCCTGAGCTGGCAGCAGGGGACTGCTGTAATTTGCAAAGCTGGTTCCTGGCACACCCTGAAGATCAATAATCTACTTAGCTGAAAGTTTGCTGGATCTCTGTTCTTCCCTTCATTTTCTCCCATGCCTTGATTAGAGTGCTGGATTCCTTTCACGCACGTGCTCCAGCGCTTCAGCCTCCTCACATCTCATGAGCCCTGTGCTCCGTTGCATCCCAGTTCAGGTTTTCAGCTGGGTGTTTCTGCACCCTTGGGCTGCGAGCTGGTTTCCTGAGCTACACACGGAGCCACATGGATCAGGCTGTCCCCAGCCTGAGGCTGCCAGCACCAAACCAAGGTGCTCCAGCCAGATGAGATCCCCTCACTGGGGACACCTGTGACAGGACAGCATGGGCAGGAGATGACAGTGCCATTGGAGTCACAGTGCCTGCCCTGACAATGTCCCTACCTCCTCCCTGGGCAGGAGTGTGGGGACACAGAGCCTGATCCCTCAGAGAGATGCTGTCCTGGGAGTGCTGGGAGAAGTGCTTCTCCTCTAACACATCCCTGGGGAGCAGAGGTGTGGAAGCAGATGTCAGGAACAGCAACTTTGACTGCTTTGAGTCATTGCAGATCTTGCTCCTGGAGCCACTTGTATCCGAAGCAGCTCCTAAACTTTTCACCTACCCTAAGCAGCTCCTTGTTGAGTCTGTTGGACTGTTTAGGCTCAATAATCTTTACCCACAGCCCTGAATGGTTTTTCCCCTGTTTTTTTTTTCCCCCTTATTTTTTGGAGCTCTTCCCATGGCTCCAGTGCCCAGGAAAGGGTTACAGCTCTCCAACACTGAACGTTTGAGTTTGCTTTGTTCAGTGCAATGCATATTTCATATGCTCAGCTTCCCAGCTGGCAGAGGCCTGGAAACCCTGCAAGCTGTCGGGTATTGTCTCTCCTTCTTTACTTGTTTGTTTGTTGGATTTTTTTGGGTTGTCATTTTTGTTGGATTTCTTTCTTTTTTTTTTTTTTTTATCTCTTCCAAATTGCTCACTCGCACGAAAGCCAAACCCCAGCCCCTGACAATGGGGGTCTCTCAATAGATAAATGGTTTCACAGCTGTATCCAACACAGGGCTGCAGCCAGGGCTTTTATGGCAAGTGATTTCCTCGTGACCAGGCTGCGAAGGGAGCTGTGGGGACGGACGGGTTGCAGGAGCTGGCAGCAGGAGGATGCTGTGCCATGGGCTTTGCTCCCCCCCCCGCCAAAGGTTGTAATTATCTCGTTGTTTATCCATATGCAA